GTAGATTTAGGAAGATTTTTTAAGAATAAATCGTTTTTGGCAACAATATTAATCACGATTTATTGATCCTAGATTTAGAGAATTAAAACCAACTTCAAAATGTAAGAAAAAAATGCAAAATGTGTCACCATGTGACATCGAACTCGTGACCTTTGATTTTAGGTATGTGCGTTTCCAAACCAAGTGAGCTGTGGGTGTTTAATCAATCAATGAAGCAAACGAAAGCAATATATTCATATACGTTTTCCGTTTTTAATCAAAAATTGTACGATTCGAAAAAAATGCAAAATTGATTGAACTCGTGACCTCGAATCTAGGTATATGCGTTTTTTTACCAAGTGAGCTTCAAGTGTTTAATCGAACAAAGAAGCAAACGAAAACATTATATTCATATAGGTTATATAGGTTTTCTATTATATTCAAAAGAAAAAAAATGTGTTTTTTCCAAAAATACTTAAAAATATTTTTTGTAAAATCGAAAAAAAAAACGTTTTTGGAAAGTAAATATCGAATAAAATATTTTTTGGAAAGTAAATAACTAATGGTCCTAGATTTAGAGGATTTAAACTACCTTTGGTAGAATAGGCTTTCTACCATTAGGTAGAAGATAGAGAAAGAGGTGGATAGAAGAGGTAGAATATGCATTCTGCTTATCATAGAAGACAGAGTCATTGGTAAAAATTGCCAACTGCAACTGGTAGTACTGAAGCAAATGGTGGAATGTACAATCTGCGATATGTAGAACTTGTGCAATTAGTAGAATACTTCCTTCTACCACTCGTAGAATGATACAAAATTCGCAGACCACCTAATCTACTAGTAGATTCGACCATGGTAGAAGCAAAAATAAATAATTTTCTATCATAGTTTTTTTTTTTGAAAAATATAAACATGAATCTATATGCCTTGTACATTACACTTTTGTATTTTCCTGATTTTATAAAATTATAAAAACTATTTTTCTGTATTTTTTAATATTAATCAAATGGTAATATAGGAAAAAGTTGGTAAAAAAAAGACAAAGATTATTGGGACATTCTCAATTTCAAATTGAGTCAATTTAGCAAATTTTCCTATGAAT